GCCCCGTGGGGGCCCCCGAGGCCGAAAAAACTGGCAAAAGACCTCCCGTCCGAATTCTTGCACGACGCGGCCGCGATGACATATCTGGGAAGCAGCCTTCCCCCCTCCCCCCCCCCTCTCTGCGCGTGGCCGCCCTCCCCTCCCGCCCCTCCCGCCCCCGCCGCCGCCCCTCGGGCCCGCGCCCCGCCCCGACGCCGCCCCTCCGCGGCGAGAGCGCGGCGGGGGCGGCGGGCCCGAACCCCCGCGCGGCGGGGGCCGCGCGCGGGCGGGCGCGCCGGGCGCGGCCCGCCGCGGGGGCCGCGGGCCGGAGCGACCGCGGGCGCCAGGGCGGCCAGCATCGCGAGGCCCTCGCGCAGCCGCTGCCCTGCCCGCGGCGCGGCGGCGGCGCCCTCGGCGGCTCGAGCGCCGCGGCGGTGCAGCGCCACGCCCGCGGGGGGCTCGGGCCGGGGCGGCGCGGCTCGGCGCGCGAGGCGGCCCGAGCGGGCCGGCTGCTCGCGGAGCGAGCCGGCTCCGCGCTGGTGGAGCCTGCTCGGCTGCGGCTGTGCCCGTGTGTGCCAGCCTGCGCGGGCGTCGCGACGCGCTCGAGGCTTTAGGAGGGCTCCAAACAAGACACCACCACCAGCCCTGGCCAGGCCCATCCTGGGCCCTGGACTGGTGTACAGGCCCTCCCGGCCCAGGGCTGGAGGCCTATACTTACACCAGTCCAGGACCCAGGAAGGATGGACTTGGCCAGGGCTGGTGGTGGTGCAATGTTGGCATCCCACCGAGGCTTGTTCCCCGCAGCTAAATGGTCTGAAGGTTCGCTCCCTCGGCCAGGACAGGCCCGACTGCAACGGCAGGGGCTCACGGGAGCCCCTCCTGGGCGTGAGCGAGATCATGAGGGGAGGACGAGCGGAGGACCAGCCAAACATGATGGAGATCATGATGGAGGTGAGCGAAGAGGTGAGAGGAGCGGGATGATGGTGGTGAAAGTTGAGAGGTGAGAGGAGCGGGATGATGGACACCATGATGGAGGTGAGAGGTGAGATCATGATGGAGATGAGCAAACGTGAGCGAGATCATGCTGGAGGTGAGCGGAGCGCATCATGAAAAGCGAAAGTGGCAAGAGATGCCTCGTTGAAGCCCCTGGCGGCCCCACCCGACGCACTCGAGACTCAGCGCGTGCGAGCCGGCTCGGGCGAGTTACGGTTCGTGCGAGTGGAAGCGGGCGAGCCGAGTGGGCCGACACGAATCGGGCGCGAAACCAAGCGGGCCGGGGGAGAGGAGGGAAGGAGATGAGGTGCGGCGAGAGGGGTAGCGCAGGGGAGAGGAAAGGTGAGGGAGGAGGAGAAAAAGGGGGAGCAGCACGCGGGGAGATTTGGCAATTCGTGCTAAGTGGACGAGACTGAACGTGCTATACGCTGAGATCTCCAACGCCCAACCTGATGAACACACGAGGGCCGACTTTTCAAGGGGACGCTAGCAACAAGACCAGGCCATGTAGAGGAGCATGCTCAAGGATTTTTCCTCCACGGGACATGGCTGCTGGCGCATGGTTCCTCATACGTGAAACATTGACCGGACTACTTTCGTACATTAGTCTCCTGGCTGCCAGCCGGAGATCATGAATATTCGTTCAGAAAGAAGCGCAGCGATAAGGTCGCGTTCAAGGAAGACGCTGGATTCCTAATCACTGCAGCTCTATACCTGAAAAAACAATGGCATGCGTAACCCAAAATACGCGCTGGGCGATGCAGCCCAGCCGCCTGCGTGCATGAAGACGCTCCTGTGCACAACAGGATCGGGACACAAGGTAGCACTCTGGCACGGTGAGGGCGGCTCGCCAACCTGTGTCATGCATCGATATGTCCCCTCACGGTGTCACCCTCCTCCTCCTCCTCGTCCTCGTCGTCCTCCTCCTCCTCCTCCTCCTCCTCCTCCTCCTCCTCCTCGCCCTCTTGCTCACTTTCCTCCTCCTCCTCCTCCTCCTCCTCCTCCTCCTCCTCCTCTTTCTCCTCCTCGTCCTCCTCCTCCTCCTCCTCTTGCTCACTCTCCTCCTCCTCCTCCTCCTCCTCCTCCTCCTCCTCCTCCTCCTCCTCCTCCTCCTCCTCCTCCTCCTCCTCCTCCTCCTCTTGCTCACTCTCCTGCTCCTCCTCCTGCTCCTCCTCCTCCTCCTCCTCCTCCTCCTCCTCCTCCTGTAGGAGGCGCGCCCGAGGAAAAGAGAAGCAGAAGAAGGGGCGCCCGGAGGGGAAGTCCCCCGGCCGTCGGAGACGTCCTCCAAGCCTTCCCCGAGCGCGCAGAGCACCCGGCAGAAGGCCCGAGGCCTCCTGAGCAGCCCCGCCGCCTTCTGAGAGAGGCCTTCTCCTTCTCCCCCCCCTCCTCGCTCGCCGCCGATCCTGCTCCTTCTCCGTCCCCGCCCTCCTGCCTGCACCTCCCCTTCCTTCTCAGTGTTGTCCTTCCTGCCTCATGCCAGTGCCTCGCTTGGATGTCCATCCTGCGATGTCCAGATGGGGAGCTTTGCATCCTGGTAGGTCCTCGGTGCACCCCCTCTTGCAGTGCCCTCTTCTCCTCCTCCTCCTCCTCCTCTCCTCCTCCTCCTCCTCCTCCTCCTCCTTCTCCTCTTGCTCACTCTCCTCCTCCTCCTCCCTCCTCCTCCTCCTCCTCCTCTCCTCCTCCTCCTCCTCCTCCTCCTCCTCCTCCCTCCTCCTCCTCCTCCTCCTCCTCCTCTCCTCCTCCTCCTCTCTCCCTCCTCCTCCTCCTCCTTCTCCTCCTCCTCCTCCTCCTCCTCCTCCTCCTCCTCCTCCTCCTCTCCTCCCTCCTCCTCCCTCCTCCTCCTCCTCCTCCTCCTCCTCCTCCTCCTCCTCCTCCTCCTCCTCCTCCTCCTCCTCCTCCTCCTCCTCCTCCTCCTCCTCCTCCTCCTCCTCCTCCTCCTCCTCCTCCTCCTCCCTCCTCCTCCTCCTCCTCCTCCTCCTCCTCCGCCTCCTCCTCCTCCTCCTCCTCCTCCTCCTCCTCCTCCTCCTCCTCCTCCTCCTCCTCCTCCTCCTCTTCCTCCTCCTCCTCCCTCGTGGGTAACCGGGGGCGAGCTGGGAGGGGGCCACTCTGGGCCGCTGGTCGACAGCACGACCCACTGTGTATCCGCCACAGGGCTTGCGCGACAGTGGAGTGCTTAGCACGCTCTTCGATGGCTTGCGAATCGACGCCAATCGTCGCGAGTCGACTCGAACCGACGCATACGCAGATCGACGCTAAATCGACGCGTTCTCATCGACTGCGCGTTCTCATCGACTGCCAAGCGCTATCGCACGCCAGTGCGCTCTATAAATGGAATCACGAGGACACGCAAGGCTCCCATGAGTTGCTACCTGAACTGGCCCCCGTTGGCGCTGAGCCCCTTACGCGAGCCTCGAAAGAGCGTCTCTCAAAGCTTGCCGGCCGGGGCTGGCCTTCGGCCTGCCGACATCTCCAGGGCAACTCCAGTACGGTCAGGAACTCGCTGCGGCGGCCCCCGCGACACGCCATGCCTGGCACGCGGGTAGCCTCAGATACGTGCGTTACGTTCGCCCCTCCTGGCCAGCATCCGATCAAACTCAGCCCCAGGACCCTCCCCCCCAGACTCTACGCAGGCATGTTTGCAAAGCCGCGCCCGGCGATGCGGTGGCGAAGAAGGCCCCTCAGAAAAACAAACCGCGAACTGTTCAGCGCAAGCACAAGCAAACTTGCGATCGCACACAGGGGAGCTCAGCCGCATGGGTGCCTATCCCTTGCACATGATGTTCCCCGTCTCATCTTGCCACGAGCGCCGACCTCATCATGCCAAGGGAAAAGCCACTCGCCACGACCTGCCGACGCAAAGTCAGGCGCGCTTGACATTTGCCGCTACGTGTCGCTGCAGCGCGGCACACAAAAATGGCGATGTAATTAACAGAGCAACTCTAACAACCTGATCGCGAAAACGGCTTGCCGACGCAATGGCAGGCATGCTTCACATTCGCCGCTACGTGCCGCTGAAGCGTGATACACCAAACATGGTGGTGTAACTCACAGAGCAACTCCGACAACCCGAATGCGAACGGCTGCTGCACCAAACCTGGACCTCCTCCCCCCCTCCTCGCAGGACAGGCCTACAAACCCCACTTGGATGGTGGAAATCGTCTGTGTCAAAAGATCAGCGCGCGACTGCAGCCCAGGTCAGGAACACACAGGGGCACACCTTCCAGGCAGTGTTCAGAAGCCCTCTTTGCGCCCACCCGTGCGATTCCCATCTGTCTCCTCCTCTGCCGCCTCCCTCCTCCTCCAACCTCTCCTCCTCCTCTTCCCCAAACCCCATTGTCTCCCCTCTCTCAGCCACCCTCCGTCATGCCTTCTACCTCCTGTCTCGGCCATCCTCCAAATCCTCGCTCCTTCCCAATCATGTCCCTCTCCCCTGTTCGTCCTCCTCCTCCGCCTCCTCCCCCTGCCTCTTCGGCATCCATCTCCTCCATGTCTTGCCCTCTATTCCGCATCCCTACTTCTTCTGCTTTGCGCTACTTTCTACATCCTGCCTCCCTCCTCCCACTCCTGCCTGCTCCCTCTCCCCCCTGCCACTCCCCCTGCCCCTGATCGCTGCACCGGCCACCCCTCCCCTCCTCCCCATTATTGCTATTACTCCGCCTACTCCCTCTGTCCTCCTGCCTACTCATCTCTTTCCTCCTCCTCCTCCTCCTCCTCCTGCTCCTCCTGCTCGTGCTCCTGCTCACCCTCACATGTCACCTCCTCTCTTTCGTCGTCCTCCCCTGGATGTTCCTCCTCCTGCTTCGTCCTCCTCCACTTTCTCCAGCCCCTTGTGGTACATCCTCCTCCTCATCCTCCTCCTCCTCGCCATCATCCCTGTTACCGTCCTCCTCATCACCCCCTCACTCCTCTGTCGTCCTCGCTCATTCTTCGTACTCCACCCCCGCATCCTCTCGACCAGACTCTGTGCTGGAAGAGGCGGCTCCGCCACGCCGCCCAGGGCGCCGTACACCGTCGCGCGCCGAGGCCGTTCACAGGGACTGGAGCACCTGACGCTCGAGGTCAAGTGCCCTTCTCCCCCGTCTCTGGCTTCATCCTACTCTCCTCCTCCTCCTTTTCCTCCTGCTCCTGCTCCTGCTGCTGCTCCTCCTCCTCCTCCTCCTCCTCCTCCTCCTCCTCCTCCTCCTCCCCCTCCACCTCCCACGCTCCTCCTCCCATGTTGCTCCCCCTCCTCATCATCTCCCCCATCCCTCTTCCTTCCAACTAATCTCTCCGCGGGCACCGCCAGACATGTCTGTAGGCAGGGCCCCTTCCGAAATGCGGCTCTCGCCAGAGCGCCGCGGGCACTCGTCTGTCAACTGCTGCGACAGCCGCACGGATGGGCGGGGCAAAGACAACCCGCATAGTAAGGATGGTCAACCTTCCCAAAGGTACCCTTGAATCCTTGCCCCTTCGGCTCATCCTTAGCGACTTTCGCTGGCCAGCCTCGTCCGGAAAACGTTAACACTGGCGTCCAGGGCCCCTGTATCCTTACCGCGCGTCCTTATGTTATGGAGTTGACCGCAATGCGTGGCTCTAGCCTGAACACCGCTCACATTTGTCCTGGGAATGTCTAACCGTTACACGGATGGAAGGAGGCTCTTTTCTGGAAGCGTGGGTTTCGCGTCCGACATACTCAATCCGTGCAAGAAGCAACCTCATACCACTGTGAAGCACCTGCCCGGATCGAGGGGGCGGGCGAATCGGGAGTCTTTAGCGACGGGCGCATGTGTCTTCATACATGGTTTTAACAACTACGCAGTTGGAGGAGGGCGGTGGTGTTCAAAATGTGGCTTTCGCCACTGCCTCGCGCACAGTCGCCTTCAATCTTTTCTCAGCGGCTATACGGATGGGGAAAGGGGGGGTCGAAATGTAACTCTTGCGTCGTGGCTGCGTACATTCGTCATGGAAGCTTCCAGAGGTTGCACGGATGGAGCAGGGAGGGACCCAAGAGCGTTCTTCGCCTTAGCGACACGCACATTCGTCGTTAACATTTCCAACAGCTGTTCGGGTGGAGGGCAGCTCCTTTTTCCCTACCTAGGCTCTGCCTAGAAGGGTTCTTACTCTCTATGTTAAAGGGGCCGGGCAGTGGGCCTCGCCCCGGGCGGTTCCCCCAGGATCCGCCCCGCGGTTCCCCCAGCTACGTCCCCTTAGCTTAGCGTTGCTTATCTCATCTTAGCTTAGCTTATTTCATCTTAGCTTAGCTTAGCTTCCTCTTAGCTCAGGTTTATCTTAACTTAGCATATCGTCATCTTAGCTTCGCTGAGCTTTATAATGGCAGAGCACAGCATAGCACAGCATAGAGTAGCACAGCATAGCGCAGCACAGCATGGCGTAGCATAGCCCAGCATAGCATATCATAGCACAGCACAGCATAGCATAGCATAGCGCAGCACAGCACACCACAGCATATCACAGCGCAGCATAGCATAGCATAGCATAGCACAGCACAGCACATCATAGCGCAGCATAACAACATAGCATAGCATAGCGCAGCTTAGCATAGCAAATCATATCATAGCATAGCATAGCTTAGCATATCACAGCACATCATGGCATAGCATAGCTTAGCATAGCATATTATATCATAACATAGCGCAGCATAGCATAGCATAGCATAGCATAGCATGGCATAGCATAGCGCAGCATAGCATGGCATAGCATAGCATAGCATAACATATCATATCAACTAATGCTGCTTTCCTAGGGGCTCCAACTTCTAGGTAGGGTCGCACTGGGGTAATTTTATGCGGCACTCGCGTGAGCGCCGCGTGCATTCGTCTCACCCTTCTGCAGCAACCGCACGCGTTGACGAGAAGAGGGCTCTTGCTAAGCACAGCGCATACTCATCCCCCAAATTTTCAACAGTTTCACAGATGGAAGGCCGTCCCCACGGAGGGCACAAACTACGCGCCAGCACCAGTCCTGGCAAGGCGTATTCTAGGCCCATGGTCGGTATTGTATGCTGGCGGTGTGCACGAGGGGCTACGGGGAGGGGGGCAGGCTTGTTGGAAGGAGGCTGCCTCTTAGAGACGACGAGGGCCTGACATCTATATATATATATATATATATACACACTGTAAGGCCCGCGCCTTCTAAGAAGCAGGCTGCTTCCAAGAAGCCTCCCTCCCTCCCCCTACTCCAAATTTCTTGATAAGCGTCGGGGGGGCGTCACCCCCGCCGACAGCCCCACACGCGACGGGGGCCGCCGCGCGCGGAAGGCGCTCCGACCCTCGTCGCGGCGCGACGACGAGGCGAGGTTGACCCCAGTCGGGGGGGGTACCCCCCCGCGCTTGCCAAGAAAGTCGGAGTGCCCCCCCTCCTCGCCATCGCTCGGATGTCCAATTCCCGTGCCTGTTTCGTTGTCGTGCGTGCTTGTTTTGCTCGATGATCCAGGATGCTCCTCGATGGCCCTCGCCGAGAGAATAATGCACACCTCCGAGCGATGCCAAGCCTCTGCGAGCGAGGCCGCCCTGGGCCCACGAGCGGTGCCGCGTGCCCTCCTCCTGCCTGGCCAGGGGGGCGCGCGCACCCGCTCTGGGCCGAGGCGTGGGCCCGGTCGGGGCCGGCGTGGGTGCACGCGTGCCCCCCCCCCCCGGTCGGCGTCGAGGGTGCAGGCAAGGGCTGGCCATCGCTCGGACGTCCATTTCCTGTGTTTTTTGTTCGATTTCGTGCGTGTTTTTTTCGCCACATGATCAAGGATGCTCCTCGATGGTCCTCGCCGAAAGAAAAATGCACACGTCCGAGCGATGCCAAGAGGGTGCTGGATGAACTCCAGCAGGCTCAGCCTCACGGAGATCACCTCGGCCAGGCTCGACTCGGCCAGGCTCGACTCGGCCGGCTACCAATGGGCAGGTCCAACTCGGCCGGTTCAACTCGGCCAGAGCTCGACTCGGACCAGTCCGACTCGGCCGGGATTCAACTCGGCCAAGCGCCAATCGGCTCGGCCAGCTCAACTCAGCTCCCGAAGCCGCATATAGTCGGACTTGATTGGACAGGACGCGCGAGAGGACAAAGACCCTTCCAAGGGCCGCATCGCCATGGGAATGTAGGAGGCATGGGTCGCGAGATGCAGGACACAAGGATGCCCTTGACTTGGCAGGGTCGACCTACTAATCCGGGCCGGCTGTACCCCTCCCTTCGCCTGGTGGCTCGCCTGTCAAGACAGCCGCCGACAGGATGTCTTCACATCCGCGGCCCCAGAGGTCCCGACGACCCCTTCCCCGGGGATCGTGCTTCGTCCTGGCTCCCTTTCGGGGATCTTCTGACCCAGGTCAATCCAGACCCGGGTCAGCAGGAAACCAAAAAACTGGAATGCAGGGGAAAAAACTGCAACGCAGGTCTTCGCAAACCCAGGGCAGCCAATAGGCGCGGCCGCCTCGCGGCCACGAGCGGCTCGCTAACCCGGGTCAGCCAGAGGGGGTCTTCGCAGGATCCTGCAAGATCTGGCGCTCTGGCTGACCCCCGTTTGCATTGACCCCGTCTTTGGGGACCATCAAAAAGGGCCTTTTTGATGGCCCCCAGGCCGGAAGAGGGGCCCCGGAGGCCGAAATCCAGGGCCTCTCCTCCTGGATCCTTGTCCTCGTCCTCGTCCTCCTCCTGCCACCCTCTCCCTGTTTTTTCTCCCCTTTTTCCTCGTCCATCCCCTCCTCCCCCCTTCCCCTCCCCCCGCCTCGTCCCCTCCCCCCAGGAGGAGAAAGGAGGAGAAGGAGGAGAACGGAGGGAGGAGGAGGGCGGAGGAGGAGGAGGAGGAGGAGGAGGAGGAGAAGGAGGAGAAGGAGGAGGAGGAGGAGGAGGAGGAGGAGAAAGGAGGAGGAGGAGGAGGAGGAGGAGGAGGAGGCGGAGAACCCTCCCCTCGCCTGGTAGGGCTTGGGGTGGCTCGGCGGTGCAGGAACGGCACGGACCCGCCGCGTCGGAGCAGAGGCAGACGGCGACCTCGCGTCCGAGCGCGCCTGCGGGCCGGGGCGGCCAGCGGCCACGACGACGACCGTGCCGGCGTCCACGAAGGCGACCACGGCGACGAGGTGGACGAGGGGGAGGCAGAAGGACGAGGCAAGAAAGGAGGAGAATTCCCAGGATTTCCGCACTCACAAGAGTGACTTACAGAAGGGAGGACGCCACCCTCCTGCGCGTCCTAAGCCTCTTCCTTACCCCTTTTTCCGCATCCGCCTCGTCTCTCTCTCTCTCTCTCTCTCCTCCTCCTGCTCCTGCTCCTGCTCCTGCTCCTGCTCCTGCTCCTGCTCCTCCTCTTCCTTCTCCTCCTCCTCCTCCTCCTCCTCCTCCTCCTCGTCCTCCTCCTCCTCCTCCTCCTCATGTGGGTAGTGTGTGGGGGGGGGGAGGGGAGAGGAGAGGATGCGGGTGAGATGGGAAGGGAAGACAGGCGGAAGAGAGCGCGTTTCACTGGCGCTCCTCTCGAAGACGCCCGGAGAATTCCCTCCCTCCCTCGCTCTGGGCCCCCCCCCTCCGAAGCAGGGGGACCCTCCCTCCTACCCCCTCCCCCCTGACAGGCGGGGGGGGGGGGGGGGCAAAACCGAAATACCCCCCCCCACCTCAGACGAGGCCAGGACGAGTCCAAGAATCTCTTTTATCCGGCGGCTCTGGAGGATGTCTCGGGCGCCGCGGCCTTCTCAGAACGTTCCGGAACGCTCTGAGAGCGTTCCGGAACGCTCTGAAACGGATCTGTCCTCGCTCTAGCCTGAAGTCGGAATATTGAACACTAGCCACAAAATAGTCTGGGTACTTTTTTTGTTTTTTGCATGTTTTGGCCATGTTGGCATCTGTTTTGCGTACGTTTTGCATGTGTTCGTCAAGTCCCCCTGCAGGGGGACACGCCCGAGCCAGTCCTGGCCCCGCCCGAGCATCTCCACATGGTGCAGGGGGGGCGTCCAAGCCCCGACCCCGCCCTCGTGCCAGGGAGGGGGCAGGGAGGAGGAGGAGGAGGAGGAGGAGGAGGAGGAAGAGGAGGAGGAGGAGAGGATGAGGAGGAGGAGGAGGAGGAGGGAGGAGGAGGAGGAGGGAGAGGAGGAGGAGGAGGAGGAGGGAGGAGGATGAGGGAGGAGGAGGAGGAGGGAGGGAGGAGGAGGAGCATGAGGAGAGGAGGTAGGAGGAGGAGGAGGAGGAGAGAGAGGAGGAGGAGCAGGAGGAGGAGGAGGAGGAGCAGGAGGAGGAGCAGGAGGAGGGAGGAGGAGGACGAGGAGGAGGAGGAGGAGGAGGAGGAGGTTGTATCCAATCCAAGTCGAGCGCTGGAGCGAACAGGAGCTCGCGGCGCGTTTTGGGCTTGACAAGGTTTTGCTCGAGCGTCTGATGGCCCGATCGAGGCCACACCTGTTGGGCGTCTCCGATACCGATGGCGATTGGAGACCCTGGGTACGAATGACGTCAGTGATGGCTGGATGCGGGAGGCCGATTCGCATCCGACGGGCATTTCGGCAAGACGCCCTGCGCCTACCTCGTCATTCCTATCACCATTCCCATCACCAACACCATTACCCTCACACTAATTGTCATCTTCATCCCACCCTCACCATCATCACGATCGCCACCACCCATCATCACCACACACTCACCATCATCATCAGCAACATCGTCTCATTCCTCCCCCTCCGACCCCTCTCCTCCACCGCCTGCTCCCCCCCTCCTGCTCTCCCTCCGCCTCCTCCGCGTCCTCATCCTCATGCTTCTCGAGCCCCTCCTCTCATCCTCGTCGCCCTCCTCCCCTCCTACCTCTCCCTCCTCTTCGTGAGGGTTGGCGGGAAAGAGCATGAGAGGAGCTGGAATTTCAAGGGATGGGGAGACGGGGACGGGGGAGAAGAGACGGGAGCAGCGTGAGTGGGCACGTGGGAGGGCCTGGGCACACCAGGGCAGGGGACAGCCATAGGCGCGGCACCAGAAGGTCTGGAGAGCAACTCCTCCCCGCACCCCCTGATAATGAAGAGCCAGACGACCAAAGACGTCGCAGGAGCCTCAGCCACTCCTCGTGGTCAGTTGCGATGCGGTCATGATATGTTGTCTTCATCCCTGCTTCTGAGCGGCCCTGGCTATCACCATTCCTCTCTTCCCCCTCCTTCTCCTCCTCCTTCTCCTGCTCCTGCTCCTCCTCCTCCTCCTCCTCCTCCTCCTCCTCCTCCTCTTCCCCCTCACCCCCTCTCTGAAGATTGGGGAGAGGGGAGGGAAAGGCAGGGGAGGACGAACGAGGGAGGAGGGGAGCAAGTGGGGGGGAGTTCGAGGAAGGGGGAGGGGGGGGCAGCGGGACCAGGAGGAAGAGAAGGAGGAAGAGGAGAGGAAGCGAGCGAGCGAGCGGGGGGGGAGCAAGAGAGGGAGAGGGGCAGCGGGAGCAAGAGAGGAAGCACGCGCGAGGGAGGGGGGCAACCGAGCAAGAGAGGGGGAGGGGAAGGGCGAGGGGGAGGGGCGAGCGAGCGAGCGAGCGAGGAGGGGGGGGTGGTGAAGGAGGAGGGGGAGCGAGCATGGAGCGAACGAGGAGGAGCGAGGCGAGGCCGACGCCGCGGTGCTCGAGCGCCCAGCAGGACGCCCCCCCAGGGAGGGAGGGAGAGAGGGAGGGCTCGGGCGAGGCGGCTGGGCGACAGCGGGCGGCCGCGGTGCGCGCCGGGGTGGGCGCGCTGAGGATGCCGTGCATCCTGGCGCGGCGGGCTCGTCGGGCGGAGGGCGGGCGGAGGACCTGCGCGGGGAGGGCGGGGCGCCTCCTGGCGCAGCGGAGGAGGCGGAGGGGGGCACTACCCCCCTCCGCCTCCTCCCTGCGCAGGTCCTCCTCTGCCCGCCCTCCGCGCCCATCCTGCAGCCTGCGCCTACCGTAGGCGCAGGCTGCAGGAGGGGCGCGGGAGTCTGGCGGAGGAGATCGGCGGAGGAGGGGACAGGCGCAACGATTGGGGCGCACAGGGGACAAGGCAGAGTAGGAGGACCGCCGCAGGGGATAGGCTCAGGCTGCCGTGCATCCCTTGGGGGGGGGGGGCAGGCGCAGGGGATAGGCGGAGGAGGGGATGGGCGCAGGGGATGGGGGCGGGGTCATGGGGACAGAGCAGAGTAGGAGGAGATCGGCAAAGTATAGGCTCAGGATGCCATGCATCCTGACGCAGGGGGCAGGTCGGAGGGGCCCGAGGAGAGGAGGGGGAGGAGGGTTGAGGAGGCGGATCGGAGGCCGCCCACATTGGGTCAGGTGGGAAATGAAAGCGTGGAAGATGAGGGGGATGCTGCGGAGGAAAAGAGGACACGGACGCATAACAACAATCAATATTTTGGAGTGTAGGTGCTCGGACTTTGCACGCTCAGCCATCGACCATGGACTGCTCACTGTCCATCGATCGACCCAAGAACTGGCGCAGGGCCGCAAGCCGCACCACGCGGATCAGTGACCGGCGGGAAAGCCTGCGTGGGCAAGTGCCTCAAAGTCAAGTGGAAATAATGGAGCTTCCCAGCCAGGCGAAGAGGAGAAGGATGAGGAGAAGGAGGGGGAGGACGAGGAGGAGGATGAGGAGGAGGAGGAGGAGGAGGAGGAGGAGGAGGAGGAGGAGGAGGAGGAGGAGGAGGAGGAGGGACTAGGAGGATAACGAGGAGGAGGAGGAGGAGGAGGAGGAGGAGGAGGAGGGAGGAGGAGAGGAGGAGAGAGGACGAGGAGGAGAGGAGGAGGAGGAGAAGGAGGAGGCGGACGACCAGGAAAACGAGGATGATGGGAAAGAAGGGGATAGAAAGGAAGGAGGAAACGGGAGGGAGTAGAAGGATGGAGGAGGGCGAGGAGTCGAAGGAGAACGAGCTTGGTGAGGAGCAACAGGAAGAGGAGAGAGGAGAAGGAGACAGGAGGAGGAGGAGGAGGAGGAGGAGGAGGAGGAGGAGGAAGAAGAGATGAGTATGAGGAGGGGAGGAGGAGGAGGAGGAGGAGGAGGAGGAGGAGGAGGAGGGAGGGAGGAGGGAGGAGAGGAGGAGGATACAAGGAGGAGGAGGAGGAGGAGGAGGGGGGAGGGAAGGATGAGGAAGAGGAGGATGAGGAGGAGGAGGAGGAGGAGAGAAGGAGGAGGCAAGAGAGGGAGAGGCATGAGGAGGAGCAGCCGCAGCAACAGCAGCGGAGATACTCCCGTCCTGTCGCGGTCCCGGATCTCTGGGTGGAAGCGAGCGCACTCGATGTAGAGCCTCTGCCTCAGGGGAGAGCCGCGCGAGCGCAAAGCGGACATTCAGCCTCCATTCGTTTCGCCCTCCATCTCCCTTCCTCCGCTTCCCTTTACTCTGTCTCCTCTTTGTCCTGCTCTTCCTTGCCCTGGCCCATCCTCCTCCCCTTCCTCCTCTGCAATCGCCCGCTTACTTGTGAACTCACTCCTCCTCCATCTCCACCTCCCTCCCATGCCCCTGCTTTTACTCCTCCGCATACTCCGCTTCTCATCTTACTCCACGTCCTGGACTCCTAATCCTCTTCATCCTCTCTCGTCCGTCCTCCTCCTCCTCATCAGTATCATCGTTATAATCGTTATCATCATCACAGAAGCAGCAGCAACCGTATCACCATCATCGCCATCAGCATCATCAGCATCATCGCCGTCCCTCTTATAACCAGCATCACCATTATCAAGATCAGAATCATGATCGTCATCTGCATAATCATCATCATCACCAGCCTCATCACCACCACCACCTTCATGATCCTCCTCCTCACCAAAGCCATCACCATAACCCTTACCATCATGAACGTCATTGCCTATCCTCACCATCACCCTTACCATCAACCCTACGGTCACCGTTATCACCCTTACCATCACCATTACCATAAACCATCACCCTTCCTCTCCCCTCCTCCTCCTCCTCCTTCTCCTCCTCCTCCTCCTCCTCCTCCTCCTCCTCCTCCTTCTCCTCCTCCTCCTCCTCCTCCCCCAGTGCCGCTCCTCCTCTTCCTCCTCCTCCTCCTCCGCCTCCTCCTCCTCCTCCTCCTCCCTTCCTCCTCCTCTCATCATCATCATCATCATCATCATCATCATCATCATCATCACCACCATCATCATCATCATCACCACCATCATCATCACCACCAAGACCATCATCATCACCATCATCATCATCATCATCATCATCAGCAACACCATCATCATCATCGTCATCATCATCAGCAGCATCATCATTATTCTCATCGTCATCACCATCATCATCAGCAGCAACAACATCATCATCATCATCATCATCATCATCATCATCATCATCATCATCATCATCATCATCATCATCATCATCACCACCATCCCCCTCCTCCTCCTCCTCCTCCTCCTCCTCCTCCTCCTCCTCCTCCTCCTCCTCCTCCGCCCCCTCCTCCCCCTCCTCCCCCTCTTCCTCATCCGGCACCTGCCGACGGGATCGGCGCCTGACGGCGTCCGTCGTCGGCCGGAAGCCGTCGAAGCTCCAGTCGAACGGCTCGGCCCGAGGGGGCGTCCTGCCGCCGAGGAAGGTCCGGAGGTAGGGGTGCTCCTGCGGCGCAGGGGGGAGGTCGGAGGATCGGGTTTCGAGGATCGAGGTTCGAGGATCGAGCTCCCAGGATCGAGCTTCGAGGATCGAGTTTCGAGGATCGAGCTCCGGGGATCGAGCTCCGGGAATCGAGCCTCGAGGATCGAGGTTCAAGGATCGAGCTTCGAGGATCGAAGTTCGAGGACCGAGCTTCGAGGACCGAGTTTCGAGGATCGAGTTTCGAGGATCGAGTTGCGAGGATCAAACTTCGAGGATCGAGCATCTAGCTTCAAGAAGAGAGGTTCGGAAAGTGGGGTTCGAGGATCGAGCCTCGAGGAGAAAATGGACGTGCCAAGGTCGAGGCTCGAGGTTCGAGGTGGTTCGATGCGGGCCCGCGCGGGGGATGAAGCGGAGAGGGGCATAGGGAGGGAAGAACCGCCAAGCGATGACGCGGGGAGCAGGAGGATGACAAGAGAGAAACAGGGGGGAAGAGGAGGTGGAGAAAGGCACAGCGCTGCGGAAAAGAGAGGAGGGGGGGAGGAGGAAGGAGGAGGAGAGGAGGAGGAGGAGGAGGAGGAGATGAGGAGGAGGAGGAGGAGGAGGAGGAGGAGGAGGAGGAGGAGGAGGAGAGGAGGAGGAGGAGAGGAGGAGGAGAGGAGGAGGAGAGGAGGAGGAGGAGGAGGGAGGGGAGGGGGAGGGGGAGGGGGAGGAGGAGGAGGAGGAGGAGGAGGAGGAGGAGGAGGAGGAGGAGGAGAAGAGGAGGAGGAGGGGGAGGAGGAGGAGGAGAGCAAGGGTGAAGGAGGGAAGAAGGGTAGAAGAGGGGAAAGGGGAGGGGGAGGAGGAAGAGGAGGAAGAGGAGAAGGAGAAGGAGAAGGAAGAGGAGGAGGAGGAGGAGGAGGAGGAGGAGGATGAGGGGGGCAAGGGTGGAGGAGGGGTGGAGGAGGAGAGCAAGGGTGAGGGATGGAGGAGGGGGAGGAGGAGGTGGAGGAGGGGGAGGAGGAGGAGGAGGAGGAGGAGGAGGAGGAGGAGGAGGAGGAGGAGGAGGAGGAGGAGGAGGAGGAGAAGAAGGAGGAGGAGGGGGGCAAGGGTGACGGGGAGGTGAGGGCTCGCCCACATTGCGGGGAAAAGCGGTTGTGAGAGCGACGGGCGGTGGGCAGTGGTGCCGTGGTGTACTATGGGCCGTGGCCTGGGTCCTGCAGGGCGCAGGCGCCGGTGGCGAAACGGGAGGGGGGGAAGGAGGAGCGGGTGAAGGGTGTGGTGGGGTGAGGATGGTTACGCCCTGGCGGCAGAAAACGGGAGGACATGCGAGAGGACAGATGGGAGGGATGATTGCGCGAGCAGTGGAGTTCACAACTCTAGGTTCTTCCGCTGAATTTCATCACATAGATTGCACATTTTTCCACAGCATTGAGGTTGCACCATATTTTGCACCACCTCAATTGCTCCACACAGGTTACATAACATGTATTTCACCTCGTAGATCGCCCCACCTATTTTGCACAACATAGGCTACACCACATAAACTGCACAATATGTATTGGCCCACGTCGCTTGCACACCATGCTGCACCCAAGATAGATCGCACCACATGCATCCACAACATTGACTGTATTGTGTCATGCATCACGTAGGTGGCCCCACACAGCTTGCACAACACAGATCGCTAGGCACACACACACTGGTCGTGGTCCAAGCTGGCTAACACGCGTATATACACAGTGATATCGAACAGGCGGGCGGAGCACTGACATTGTAGAACGAACCGAATCGGCAGAACGACGAACGGAGCACGCAGAGAGTTCAGCGAACGTATTCGCACAATACCACAATACCGCCAATCTGTGCAGTGACGGACGCCTCCGTCGTCCTCGTTTCCTGCTCCCCCTACTTCGCATCCCTATTCTTGCCAACCTCTCCCTCTTTCTCACCCAGCCCATCCTCGAACGTCGAGAGAAGGCGGTGATTTCTGGAGGGAAGGGTGATATACGCATGTGCTGCTGGACGCCACAGTCGCCGATTGAAGGGCCAAGGGGAATGAGACGCGTCGAGACGAGGGTATATTAGGACACATGGGAATCTAGTGCGCAGAGGGATCCTCCCCATCATCGCCCTCCTCCTCCCCCTTCCCCTCACCCCTCCCCCTCCCCATCTGCTGCATTATCCTCCTCCTCCTCCTCCTCCTCCTCCTCTTCCTCTTTCTCCCTCTCTCCCCGTCCTCTGCCCCCCCCCCCCTCTCGTCCGCTCCTCCTCTTCCTCCTCCTCTTCCTCCTCCTCCTCCTCCTCCTCCATCCCTTTCCTTCTAATCAGCGCGTCCCAGTCGTACCCGGGCACGTGTCGGCAAGGCGGGCCTGGGGCTTCGCCTGAGAATTCCTCACCATTTACGAATATCAGCGGTAGAAGCTGCCACAACTTCGCGACTGGAAAACGGGTCGCTACCATAATGTGGCTCTCGCCCCAGCGCCGCGCACATGCGTCTTCAACATCGCACGACCTACCTTCACGGACGGAGGGCGGGCCGTGTTCACAGTGTGGCTCTCGCCTGAACGCCGCGCGCACTCGTGTTCAAACGCTGCAAGGGGTTTCACGGACGAAGGTCAGCTGCTTTTCAGAGTGTTGCTCTCGCCTGAGCGCCGCGCGCATTCGTATTGAAAGTTCGCAAGAGCTGCACGGATGGAGGGCGGTTCCGTTTCCAACTGCGACTCCTCTTTTTCACCCCGCCCACATTCGTCTTAAACGTTTGCAGAAATGCCCAGGATTCTTCTGGACTGCGTCCCAGAAATAACGTTTTCGCACGATGTGGGACCGCCATGGCGCAACAGTCAAATTGATTCGTGCTGTTGCCGTCCAAGGAACGGCGTTCTGGCACGATCCATAATCGTCAGGGCGAACCAGTAACGTTCATTCGTGGTGTTGAAATCCGAGGAATGGTGATTCGGAACAGTTCAGGAGTTTCAAACGGTTGTCTTCCAACGGGGCACTTCCCTCAGTGACAATGAACCCTCGTAGGGACCTGAAGGGGAAACTTGGAGGGAGGATTTATTGCAACATCGTTGATGCGATTTGGGCTTACGCTGGTCCGCCTCCTTATCCTCCTTATCCTCATCCTTCCTTCCTTCTCCTCCTCCTCCTCCTCCTCCTCCTCCTCCTCCTCATCCTCCTCTTCTATGTCCTCGAGGTCATTGACACACCATGTCCCGCTTTGCAAAACGTGGCACAAACATGATGATCATATGTACATGGCCAGCACAGGATGTCAGCTCCCATGCAATGGAAAGGACTTCCCGAACGAGACGGTAAAGCCTGGGTCAACCCCGCTCTTCAGTAAGCTCAGGGGTCTACTTGCGCGTGTGTTTCGAAGGCCCTGATGGCACCTCCAGGATCCTGACCTTCTTGGCACCGAGCGCCCCACACAAACTACACCAAATCCTGTCACCGTCTCCGTACCAGAGTCGACGCGAAGGGTGAGCCAGTCGTGAAGGTCTGGGGAGGCCTGACCCCCCCTCTCCCTGTTCTCCCTCCTCCCTCCCCTCCCTGGCAGCGCAAGCTGGCCCGAGCATCTGCTCTGCCAGCCAGCGCCACGGGCGCCCCCCCGCGCCGCTTCCTCCTTTCCCCCCCCTGCCCCTCTCAGCGGGCGCGCCATGGATTCCCGCGAGCGGGCGGCCCGGCCCCGTCGCAGGCCCCCCCGCAGTGCCGCGGCCCGGCGTGAGCAGTACCGCCGCGCCGACGCGCGAGCGGTGCAGGGCCTGCTGCGGGCCTTCGACGCGCTGGCGCATCGCGGCTCGTGCAGCTCCCGGCTGGGAGGCGCGCTTCATGCGGCTCTTCTGTCCACGGCCGCAGCCGAGCGGGCACCGCAGCCTGCCCCCGTAGCGCGCGCCGCCTCACCAGTACCAGCGCCAGTACCTGAGCCAGTACCAGTGCCAGTACCTGTGCCAGTACCTGAGCCAGTACCAATACCAGCAGTGCCAATTCCGCATTCGCCAGCAGTGCCAGTACATACGCCAGCAGTGCATATGCCAGCAGTGCCAGTACAAATGTCAGCAATCCCAATGCCAGCAGTGCCAGTACATACGCCAGCAGTCCCAGCTCCAGCAGTGCCAGTACATACGCCAGCAGTGCCTCAGCCATTACCAGTGCCAGTACCTGTGCCGGTACATACGCCAGCAGTGCCAGTGCATACGCCGGCGACCGTGCAGCAGCCTAGGGCCTCCACGCAGCCCTCAGCCACGCACAGGTTTTCAGCAGCCTCTCCGAGGGCGCAGGCGGTCTCAATGTCCGGGGCGCCACAGCCGTGCCCCACGGCTCTGAGACCGCCACGACCTGGCAGTCCCCGGCCTTTTTTCACTAGCACTCCTGCGCGAGCGGCACTGGACGCGGCGGCTGCCGCACGGATGGCTACCGCAACCGCTCCTTCGTTGCCTCTGGGGCGCCCCTATTGGGATCTGCCTCCGTCCTCTGATGCTGAAGACTCAGAGGCAGCACAGACGTGAGTCGTCTCACACTGCGCCCGCGTAAGCACTTAGCCCACCGGCCCGAGGCAGCCGGCCGCAGCGAACAAGAGCTAGCATCGGCGCCCCTCGAGTCTCACGGCCTCGTGCACCCAGCCCTGAGGGCTCTCCGCTCGAGGCGGCTTTAGTATTCTGGCCCAAAAGCCGGCTGCCGCTGGGTCGCTTGCCCGTCAGGGTCGGCGCGATGCGATGACGCCGTGCTCACGCCGTGCCTCTCTCTCCCTTCTTTCCTCCTGTGCACCTGTATTTGCGCTTTTGTCTACCATATTCGTTCACCTGTCCATCCTCCTCCTCCGCCTTGGTTCGTCCCGTGTTTCACCCTTCAATGGCCAGGTACTCGCATGGACAAGCGTCACACAAACACGGCACAGGCATGTGCATCCCATGCACAGCTCTCTGCTCTTTGCTCTCTGCTCACGCTCGAGCGCCTCTCGCCGCCTGCCTTATCGGCATCACATGTCCAGTTTTGGATCTAGGGTACGGTCATCGTCCTATAAGCGCTTTTGCCATTGAGCGGCATGCCACACTTTGCATTTGCGTCCGCCCGACAGCGAGGGCCGCCGGGAACAGCACAGCTCGCAACAGTGCTAGGACGCTCGGCCGAGGCCGCCCAGAGCGCGAAGGCCTCTGGCAAGGCCAAGCCAATGCTCGATGCTAGGTCGCAGCACTCTTACGACTTGCACTGCGTGGCTCAGCCGCTTTACGCGCACAAGCCGATATACGTTGACGGTTGACACTGAAAGCCCACTCAGTGCATCTCCTCGATCCTCTTTTTTGCCCCTTGGCACTCCCTCCTCCTGGTCCTTTCCTCGCGCATTACGTATTACGTGCCGTGCAGTACGCTCCATGTCCAGGGTCATTCGCACACCAGGCCGAGGGACCACACCACATTCGGCGTCAGGATTTTTGGACAGCGACCGTAGACAGCTTTCAGCAGCCCAGTGGCTTCCGACTCGGCGCAGTGCGCATGCACCTGTCACGCACTTGTCTCAGCGGCACTCCGCCTCAAGTTTGCAGGTCTCGGCGAAGCCGCAGGCGCTACCAGTCATCTTCCGCAGAGTGGTCCTACAGACAATGCCATGACAGTTTACTCGATTCCTCCCTCTTCCTCGGCACGGCCGGCCAGACAATGCTAGCAACGCATTTTTCAATGCAATGTTATGTCATACGTTGCACCGTCTTGGCATATAGCTGGTCTCCATGCGGCCGTCTTCGGCGCAAATGGCCTTTTCCGCTCACGGCAGCTCCTTGGCAGAGCATCCTCCGGGGAACCCCCCCTCCCTCCTGCCGAGTATCTCTCGGCTAATGCTGCCCGTCAGAGGTGCGCACCTGCTGCGGACAGCTACCTCGCCTTAGTGCTTCTTGGCTGTGCAAGATACTCCTTCACCCCCCTAGAGTTCCTCCCTCCTCCTCTTACCACGTGTCGGCGAATCCCGCTAACACTAAGAAGCCAAGTACAGCACAGGCATTCTCTTACCTGCCCCCCTTACCGGTCACGTGCGTTTCCGATGGGGCTTCCTAGGTCTCTAGGCGGCAATGCCAGCCTCTCCCTCCTGGTCCGCTCCGACACTGCCGCCCCACAGCGCGGCACTGCCATTTTGGCTCTCTTCCTACTCATCCCGCTCATATCCATGGCTAAGCCATGCTCCCAGGTGGCCGTTCCTGAGGCCAGCTGTGCTGCTCTTCGGTCTTTCAGCGCTGCCCGCATAGGGCAACGCCTAGCTGGCGCGCTTAGTGACTCTCGCACGGCACCGATCCCTTCTCTTCCTCATATATTCCCCCTCCCTCCCCTTCGGTGCCAATACCTCCCCCGCCGAACATGCAGGTCCAATGGCGAAGAATCGCTTTTGCTTGCGGACGGACCAGGAGCGGAGATCCTTTGTAGTGCCCGCTAGGCGGGCTCTGTCTGCCGCCTAGCCGACCTGCGGCCGCCCCGCTCAAGCTACTTGCAACGAGCTAAGTGCAGTCAAAAGCCCCTCCCCGGCCTCCCCCCTCCCCCGCTCTCCCTCCTCCCTCCCCGCCTCCCCCCCTCCCCCGCTCTCCCTCCTCCCTCATCGCCTCCCCCCCTCCCCTCCCCCTCCCCGCCTCTTGCTCCGCCTCCCCCGCACGGCCCGCCCTTTCCGCCACGGCGCCGCGCCCTCCGCCCCCTCCGCGGAGCCGCCCCGCGGCGCCGGACCCGAGCCGCGGAGCCCTGGCTCGTCCGCGCAGCCCGCCGCCTGCCAGAAGAGCGCGGCGCGGGCGCAGCGCCCCGCGCGCGGCGCGCCACGCCGCACGGAGCCCAGCCTCGGCCACGCGCAGAGGGTGACCCCCGGCAGGACTGACCTCTGGTGTGCGGCCTCGTTTGGGGCGCGAAGGGGGCCAGGCTCCAGCGAGTCGGCCGCTCCAGGCCCACGCTGGGGGCCCCCCCCTGCAGGCACCAGAGGTCACTCCGGCGAGGGGCCACTCCAACGCGAAGCCGGCAGCCGGAAGGGCAGCGCCGCTGCGGCGGGCCGCGCGCGGGCGGGAGGTGCCGGCCCGCCGCCGCCGCCCGAGCGCGCGGCGCCGTCGGCCCCAGCGGCTGGCGGGTCGAGCGGGCAGTCTCGCCCGAGGGCCTGGCCGCCGCCGCCGCCTTCGCCGCCGCCGCCTTCGCCGCCGCCGGTCTTCGCCGCCACCGTTGCCGTCGTCTTCGCCGCCGCTGTTGCCGCCGCCTTCGCCGATGCCACCGCGCTCGCCAGCTTCGGTCGTCGGTCGCCGCCGGTCGCCGCCGGTCGCCGCCACCGTTGCCGTCGTTGACGTTGGTCGCCGCCACCGCCTTCGCCGACGTCGCCGCCTTCGCCGCCGTCGGTCATCGCCGCTGCCGTTGCCGTCGTTGCTGTCGTCTCCGCCGCCGCCGCCTTCGCCGCCGCCCTGCCCCGCGAGGTGCCTGGCAGCGGTGCGGGCACCGCCGCAAGGCGCCCCGCCAGAACTCGGCCACGAGCACGCGGCGGCACCCGGCGAGCACCGGGCCCACGGAGTGGAACTTGTGCGCCGCGAAGACCAGCGCATCCTTCTCGCCGGCTGGCGCCCGAAAATTTCAGGTTCGGACTCGCCAGAGGCAGCTGGTCGACACAGGGTAAGACGAAACCTACACAACAACACAGTTGGACAGGGATAACCCGGAATTATTTTATAACTGGCAGTTCCAATAAAGGTATCGGCCGCTGCGGCCGTCTCAGAGCGACCCAGAGTCCCCGAACGCTCTGAGAGCTGTCCGGAATGCTATGGAACGAACTTATCCTTGTCTTAGCCTCGCCCGGAGCCGAAACAGTGAGGCGATCGCCTGTCTAGAAGATGGAAGAGAAGGAGGAGAAGGAGGAGGACCAGTGCAAACCCAAGACTCACCAACGATGTTGCAAGCAACCCTACCTCCAAGTTCGCTCTTCACAGGTCTCTGGAAGGATGTGTTTTCACTGAGGGAAGTGCCCCGATGGAAGACAAACGTCTGAAAATCCTGAGCCGTGCCAAAACACCATGCTGGAACTTCAACGCCGCGAATGAGGATTGCTGATGCGTCCTGACGATCCTGAATATTGCCAGAACACCAGCCCTAAGACTTCAACACCGCGAATCAACGAGACTTTTGCGCCCTGACTGTCCCACATCCTGTCAGAACACCGCTTCTGGCACGTCAGCCATAAGACGCATGTGACATGTTGCGGGCTCAGAACACGAATGGCGGCGCCAAGGCGAAAACCACATTTTGAAAAGGAGACGCCCTCCGTCCGTAAAACTCTTGCGAACTTTGAAGACGAAAAAACGCGACTCTGAGGCGAGAGCCACAGCTTGAAAACGCCCTGCCACTCTCGGGCGAAACGCCCGGCCCGCCCTACCAACACGACTTGGGGTGTGACAGGGGGACTTACTTCTCGAAGGAAAATTGATGGAGGAGAAGGAAGGGATCCACAAGGAGGAGCAGGAGGAGGATGGTGGAGGAGGGGGGAGAGAGGGGAAAGAGGTGATAATGACGATGATGAAGACGACACCAACGACGATGACGACGACATCAATGACGACAATGATGAATGTTGTTTCCGATGAATATGATGACGCTGATGATGATGCTGCTGGTGATGATGACAACAGACATCCGGCTGCTCCAACTTTTTTGACGCGTGGGTTCTGGAATTCTGGACCACTTCCCCAGGGTCGCTTTTCCGTCCCAGGTCGTGCTTTGACGGTCCCGAAGCCCAGCGAGGGCCCCCCGGAGGCCGAAAATAATACTCCCAAATTCACCGCTCCAGTGTGTGTCTTGAGCGTCGGATCCCTGGGGTTATGTCGGGCCTGTCCTGCTACAGGCGGACATTGGACGAAAAGTCACGAATAGTCAACACAAATCAAACATAGTCAAAAGAGCTAAAAAATCGTCCCCAGACTGCTTGTAGAGGGACATGCCCGACTTTTGAGCAGGGGCCGACAGTCCCGGCATTCCCATAGTCCTGCCTCGAAATGTTCTTAGAACCCAAACATGTTCTGAGAACAAAAACCATGTTCTTAGAACAGAGACCCGATGCGAGACAACAAAACAGAAATCAACCAGAAATGTCCTAGGAACATGTCGTGGAGACCACTCAGAAAAGGTTCTCAGAACATTATCTGGTAGGGCTATATAGGCGAGCCAGGACGCTTCGCCACTGCCCGACTGGGGCGGTACGGGGCGTGAAAACGACCACAGCCACTCCTTTTCTTATGATGCCGCCTTCCAGCCCGCAGCAACAAAGCAGTGGTTGTGGTCAGTTTCGTTGAGCCTGGCACCAGGGAAATGACCACAACCAAGTGCTTCTTTTTCGGCCGGCTGGAAGGCGGCGCAAACAAGAAGCAGTGGCTGTGGCCATTTTCCCGTCCCGCAGGCGGCGGGGCAGCGGGGCGCCCGCGTCCCCCTGCCGCAGCTCGTGCACGAGCGGCCGCCCGCCCGGCTCCAGGGTCGACAGGGCCCCGCCCCGGAAGTCCGCGCCCGGGGCGGAGAGCATCACGTCCTGGGCTCCGCTTCTGAGGCGGGGCGGCCACGCGCCCGCCGGATGTTCCTCTGCACTCGATCCTCCTCCTCCTCCTCCTCCTCCTCCTCCTCCTCCCTTCCTTCCTTCCCCTTCCTTCCTTCCTTCCTTCCGTCCTTCCTCCTCTTCCTTCCTCCCGTCCTCCTCCTGCTCCTTCCTCCTCCTCCTTCCGTCCCTCCTTCCTTCCTTTCCCTCCTCCTCCTCATCATCATCATCATTCCTCAATCCTCCTCCGCTCTTCTCCCTCATGAAGCTCTCCTCCTTGTCGCACCCCGAGGCCAGCTGGAAGGGCGGGCAGGGCGTTTCGCTTGAGACTGCCCTACCACTCATGAGCCTGAAGCTGAACAGCTGACAACAGCTTCACACATGGAGGGCGAGTAGCTTTCAAAATAAATGCGGTTCTCGCTACAGCGCCGCGCACATTCGCTGTTCTTCCAAACATTGCAAGAACCTCGCGGGTATCAGGGCGGATCATTTCCAACATGTTGCCCTCGCCCGAGCGCCGCGCGCATTCTTATAAAACAGAATTGCAAATATTTCACGGGTTGCGAGTGACTCGTTTACAACATGTGGCTCTCGCTTCAGCGCCGCGCGCATTCGATTTAAACATGTGCAGACGCTTCGCGGATTGAGGACGGTCCCTTTTCAAAATGTTGCTCTCGTCTGAGCGCCGCGCACACTCATTCTCAAACTTTGCAACAGTGTCACGGATTGAGGGCAGCTCCTGTTCGACGTGCGGCCCTCGCCTGAGCGCCGCGCACACTCGTTTTCACGCTTTGCTGGAGTTTCCTGAATTGAGGGCGGCTCCTTTTCAAAAAGTGACTCTCGCCTTAGCGCCGCGCACATTTGTTATAAACAACTGCAAGGGTTTCACTGCTTCTCATGGTTAACCGTCCAGACACGGTCTCAAGGCAGGATCAAGGATTACCAGGGCGCACAATTCTCGATGATCCGCGGTGTTGAAGTCCCAGGAATGATGTTCTGAGACGACTCAGGACCGCCAAGACGCAACAGTCAGGTTGACTCTTGGCGTTGTCGCCCGACGGGGCACTTCCCTCAGTGAAGATGAACCCTTGCAGGAGCCTGTGAAGAGGGAGATTGGGGGGAGGGTGTATTCCAACATCGTTGATGAGTCTTGTGTTTACACCTGTCTTCCTCCGCCTCCACCTTCTCCTCCCTCCTCCGCCTCCTCCCCCCCCCTCCTCCCCCCCTCCTCCTCCTCCTCCTCCTCCTCCTTCTCCTCCTCCTCCTCCTATTCCTGCTCCTCCTCGTACTCCTCCTCCTCCTCGTCCTCCTCCTCCACCTCCTCCTCCTCCTCCTGTCTGCTCTCTTGCTGATCCTCTGCGCCTCCATCATCCTCCTCTTCCTCCTCCTGCTCCTGCTCCTCCTGCTCCTCCTCCTCCAACTCCTCCTCCTTCTCCTCCCGATCCTCATCCTCTCTCTCCACCTCTTCCTCCTCCACATCCTCATCCTCCTCTTCCTTCCTTCCTTCCCCTCCTCTTCCATCGTTCCTCCTTCCGCCCCTGGTGCCCCTCGTTGCTCGTGGGGTCCCGGGGTGCCTCCGTGGAGCGGGCCGTGGCGCAGCCCGTTGTCTGTCCAGGTCCGCGGGTCCGCGGGCGTTCTCGAGGTTGGGGTTCCTGGTTGCACCCTCCAGGAACTAGCCAATGCCAGCGTCTTCAACAGCCGTCACGAGGGTCCATGCTGGGGTAGTCACTCTGATATCGCTGCGGGAGCGGCCGTAGTGGAGGCCCTCGGAGGCCCTTCCTCCCTCAACGGCCTTCACGCGATGGCGGGGATTGGGCCAGACCAAAGCATATCAAGTTTGCCTACCAATAAGGATCCAACCAACCATCCTCCTCCTCCTCTCCCGCCTCCTCCTCCTCCTCCTCCTCCTCCTCCTCCTCCTCCTCCTCCTCCGGTACTCCACTCCTCTTTTCTATCCTCCATACTCTCCTCCTTTCCTCCTCCTCCTTCTCCTCCTCCTCCTCCCTCCTCTCCCTCCCTCCTCTCCGCCGCCGCCGCCTCTTTCCGCCTTAATCCATCCACCATCCTCCTCCTCCTCTTCATACTCCATCTCCTCCCTGCTCCTCCTGCTCCGGAGCACATCTCCTCTTTTTCTGCTCTGCCCTGCGCATCCTCCTGCTGCTGATGTCCTGCTCCTCCTCCCCCTCTCCCATTCCCTCCTCCTCCTCTCCTCCTCCTCCTCCTCCTCCTCCTCCTCCTCTCTCCTCTCGTGCTGATCCTTTGCACCTCCATTCTCCTCGTCCTCCTCCTGCTCCTCTCCTTCTCCTGCTCCTCCTCCTCATCCTCTTCTGCTGATCCTCTGCGCCTCCATTATCCTTGTCCTCCTCCTGCTCCTCCTGCTCCTCCGCCTCCTCCTCCTCCTCCTCCTCCTCCTCCTCCTCCTCCTCTCCCTGCTGCATCCTCATAATCCTCCTGCACAGGACGCCGTGCACCAGCGTGGCCGAGGCCACTCACAGGCACTGGAGATCCTGACGCACGAGGTCGATGCCTTGCTCCTCCTGTACCTCCTCCTCCGTCGATGCCTTTCTCCTCCTGAACCTCCTCCTCCTCCTCCTCCTCAACCTCCTCCTCCTCCTCCTCCTCCTCCTCCTCCTCCCAAGCACAAGCGGCGCGCGTGCCCCCCATAGCCCTTTTTAGCGCATGGTCGGCCCTCGCCCCCGCCCTCGTCGCGTCATCGTCGCGTGCTTGTGGACTCCTCAACGGCGCCGTGGACACACTCCTCGGTTCTATTTGGGGTTTGCTAAGGACGAGGAAAGCTAGGCTCGGCAATTTTGTTGTTGAAGGTGTCGACCGTGGAACACTCTCCGAAGACAGATCGGGTCGGGTTCACGTTGTTCGGGCTCCTCTCCGTGCTTAACTGGTTCCTGCACCTGTTGTGTCGGGTCCTGTGCTTCTACGCCGCGGTCCGCCCTGGGGTGGGCACGGTGCCGAATGGCCCTTCTCCGTGCCCACCTCAGGCGTACTACCTTTTTGGGGCCTTCACATATTTTCATTTGTATTCTATTTTGTGGCAATCAATTTGTATTGTTTGGTCACTTCGCTCTCATGTTCGCACTGTGTATTTCTTTTGTTCATTTCACTTTCGCTCAGTGTGGCAATTGTGGAGGTCATAGCGGAAGCGCCGGATTTCAGATTCCCTGCGCGGCCTGACGCGGGCGGCTGTTGTGAAGCTACTTGACGCCTTTGGTGGGTGGATTGTGGCTCGGCAGTAAGGTTCGGGTGGATCCTGTCTAACCGTTCGCCCAGCCGCTGGTTTCCAGCGGTGCCAGGAGATTTTACTCGTATACTCGGGTCGGCTTCCGTTCTTCACAGTAAAGCTCTGCGCTTGGTGTTGTGGGCTTATAAGTACACTCGGTGTTCAAAGGTGCGTTGTACCATTCAACTTGGTTGTTCAATTTTCGCGTCGCACATAGTGTTGTGGCGCACGCGTTCAGTTTTTACGGTATGGTATGACAGTCAGCGTTGTGCCGCGAGGGACCTGAGTGGCTTTTCAGCTCACAATAACGGTGAAGTTCACAACCATGTCAAGGTCAGTGTTGTGCCGCGAGGGACCTGAGTGGCTTTCAGCTCACAATAATGGTGAAGCTCACAACCATGTCAAGTACGGCGGGCAGTTCTACGATGCATGGCAGGGGACATTTCCCAGGCAGAGGGGGTAACATCCCGTACCTGAGTCAGGCTGGCGCAGGCGTGACGTGAGAGAAGGGCGCAATGCAATCGGTTGCTTCGCTAGGATCGCACTCGCGATGGGGTCCACTCCACTCCACTCCACTCCACTCCTCCTCCTCCTCCTATTCCTCCTCCTCCTCCTCCTCCTCCTCCTCCTCCTCCTCTCCTGCTCCCTATTGCTGGCATCGCGCTGCTTCGCACTCGTGCTCGTACTCCTCCTCCTGCTCCCCCGCCCGCGCATCCCTCCGTTCCTTCTGAAAACACATCCGCTCCCCCTCCTCCTGCTCCTCCCACGTCTCTCCTGTTTGCTCCCCTTCGTCGTCCCCTTCCTTCCCATGGGAAGAAACAGGGAGGACAACGGGCGGCAGGAAACACCAAGAGGGGGAAATGAGGATGCGGAGGGGCAAGACGAAAGATCGATGAGGATGACGGGTACGACGGAGCAGAGACAAAAAAGAGGGAGAGGATGGATGGAGAAGAGTAATTAGGGGGGGAGGAGGAGGAGAGTGCATACAGACATGTAGAGGGGAAAATGGGAAGAAGGAGAAAGGTCACGTCCACAGTCACGAGGCTGTCCAGGTCGTAGTGGTGGGAGTCAGGCAAGCCTGGCCGCGGCAGGGCGAGGTTCTCGTCACAGGGGGCCTGGGTCACGATCTACCAGTGAACCCTAGGAGTGCTTTTCTTTCTGTCCCTCTTCTCCTCCCTTCTCCTCCTTCTCCTCTTCCTCTTCCTCCTCCTCCTGCTCCTCCTCCTCTCCCCCCCCCCTGCTCGATCTCCTCCTCCATCCCCCTTCACCATTCGCAACGCCTCCTCGTCGCACCAATGGGAATGTCGGCAGGGCGGGCTGGACCTCTCGCCAGGGACTTCTCCACGGCTTACGAGTGATCCTGCCGGACGGAACGCTGCCGGTTTTCAACGTAGCCATCGCCTCAGGATCGCCCACATGTGTTTCGAAACAGCTTCCGACAGCTACGCAGATGGACCGCGGGCTGTTTGCACACGTCGCTTTCCGGTAGTGCCTCGCACACGTGCCGTAAAGCTTGCAACACGTACGCGGACAGAGGACGGCTCCTTTTCGAAGCTCAACTTTCGCTTCTGAGAGGGCCTCACTGATCACGAACCCGTCGAAAACCGCACAACCGCCTCTCGCGTGGAACCCGGCCCCTCTTCGACACTGGACTCTCGACGCCTTCTCAAACTTCTGCCCTGGTGTCCATCGACGGTCAGCACGCTCCAGGATGGAGGGCACGCCCTTCTCAGAAGAGCGGGCTCTCGCTGGATACTGCGATTAACCCCCCGGGCCCCCGTCGGCTAGGCGTAAGGGTGACCCTGGGTAAGAGTGACCTTTGGTGCGCAGCTTTTGGGGGCGCGAGGGAGCCAGACCCAAGGGCGCGGGCCGCCTATATCGCATCGAGCTCGGCGATCGGGGGGAGCCCGATGAGCCCGCACCAAAGGTCACTCCGGCGAACGGTCACTCTTACGTCTGGTCGACCCCGCCCCGAGAAACCAAAACGAGCCCTGGCTGCCGGCCCGCCCCCCCCCCGAAGAGCACACGGGAGCACCGCGCGGCGCGTGGGTGTTCTGCCGCGAGAAAGGGCGGGCTCGCGTCGGCCACCCGCGGGCCAGATCCGCCCGCCGAGGAGCAGGAGACGCTGCCGACGACGACGACGGCGACGACGATCGTCATCATCGTCGTCGTCATCGCCGTCGTCATCATCATCGTCATCGTCATCGTCGGCGTCAGCGTCATCGTCAACATCGTCGTCGCGGAGGAGAGGAGGACGAGGAGCGAACGCCACCCCGGGGGGGAAGGAAGAACAGCTGGCCGGCCGGACCAAGCTATCCTGTCTTGGCAGGCCGTCCTGCCAGTCAACGCTGAGGACGAACGAGGAGCTCTCGCACTCTCGCGGAGTGCTTTGCGATGGCTCTACACATTGCCTTCACAGGAGTGGGAACGCGTCCAGCCGAGAACGTACCCTTGGCGCACACAAACTAGAAGAAAGCAGCGTAGCAGAGGCACTCCCGATGCAGAGGAGCTCAGAGCGAAGCTGGCCACAAAGGAGGACGAGGATGAGGAAGAGGACAACGAATCCCCATCTCCCCTATCGGCCCGACAGGCGGGGGCCGGGCTGCCACGGCTCGGTCGGTGGGGGGCAGGAGGACTGCGCCGCTGGGGAGAGACAACAAGGTACCGATGGCACTACTCCCCGGACTTCTCCCGGGGTGCGTTCTGACCAGAATTTCGAGGCGAACGCAGCGAGGGCCTTCCAGAAGGCCCAAAGAGAGGACAAATCGGCGCCGGCACGACGCCTGGCATCAGGGCGCAGCGCAGTGGGGTGTCCGCGTTGGGGCTGCTGCCGAGACTCCACGATCCTGCTGGTGCTTGACCTGACGGACTCGCTGGCGTTCATCCTGGACGCCTCCTAGTCGCCCTGGGTTGAGGGACCCCGCGCGCTGTTTGTCCCCGTCGGACGGCGTTGCGAAGCCTGCGCTCCTGCACTCCTCTTCCTACTCTCGTTTTTCCCTCCTCCTCCTCCTCCTACTCCTCCTCCTCCTCCTCCTAGCGGTGTCCCTCCTGCTGCAGCTGCTGCTGCTCCTCCTTATCTGGCGGCCTCTAGCCCCGGGTGGCCCCGCGACGCCATGCAGCCTTCCGTCCCTCGCTGGTATTTTGTGTGCCCGAGGCCTGGTCCTGGCGCGCGCTGCCTATGGTACTCCACCACCCGCAGCCGCATGTCGTCTGCATCCTCGTTGACGGCGGAAAATGAGGAGGGAGAGAAAGAGGAGGACGAGGAGGAGTTGGAGGAGGGGGAGGAGGAGGAGAAGGAGGAGGAGGAGGAGGAGGAGGAGGAGGAGGAGGAGGGGTGGGGGGGGGGGGGGGGGAAGACCAGCTAGGTGCGCTCGCGTCATCGCTGACGTCCTACCCCTCCCTCCAACCCCTTACCATGGCGAAGATCTCCTCTCTATTCGCACAATCGGATGTCGATAAGGGCAATGATCCCGAGAGGGTGCGCGATGCATCGTAGAGCACGGCATAGCAGAGCGTAGAAGAGCACGGCAGAGCGTAGCATGTCCTAGCATGGCGTGGCGTTGCATAGTGAAGAATTGCATCACAAAGCATTGCAACGCAAAGAATGGCATCGCACAGCGGCACATAACAGAGCACGGCATAGCATTGCGTTGAAGATGAAAGCGTAGCATGGCATAGCATAGCATGGCGTGACACTCGGTAGACAACATATTCTAGCATTGCAGCTGAAAACATGGCATCGCACAGCGGAACACCACATAGCATTGCATGCCATGCCGTGGCATGGCATTGGAAATAATGACGCCACCGCTGCAGCGGGAGCACGATTCGGAACGAGCGGAAACGCGGAAATGAGGCCAACGCTGCAGCGGGAGCACAATTCAGAACGAGCGGAAGCGCGGACATGAGGCCTGCCCTGCAGCGGGAGCACGATTCGGAACGCGCGGAAGCGCGGAAACGAGGCCAACGCTTCAACAAGAACACCATTTTGAAACACCCAGGCGAGAACCAACTCCCGGGAATCCTGCGTGTAAACAAACAATACGCAGAGGGGGAAGAGGAGGGCGAGGAGGAGAGGGGGAGGAAGGGGAGGGGAACGAGCAGGAGGATAACACTTGGAGCAGGGAGGAGGAGAAGGAGGGGGAGGAGGAGGAGGAGGGGGGGAGGACGAGGAGGAGGAGGAGGAGGAGGCGGAGGAGGAGGGGGAGGAGGAGGAGGAGGATGGGGAGGATGGGGAGGAAGAGAAGAAGGAGGAGGAGGAAGAGGAGGTGGAGGTGGAGGTGGAGGTGGAGGTGGAGGTGGAGGAGGAGGAGGAGGAGGAGGAGGAGGAGGAGGAGGAGGAAGAGGAGGAGGAGGAGAGGGGGGAAGAAGGGCGGCGCCTGAGCGCAAAGAGCAGCACAAAGAGGGCGAGGCGCGAGGAGGAGCAGGAGCAAGAGACCATTTCCTGGGATGTTGCTGCTTGCGAAAGTCTCGACTGCGCGCACCCTGGGCAAGAGTGAATTTTGATGCGCGGCTTTAGGGGACCGCGAAGGGTGCAAATCCGAGCGCGCGGGCTACTGCCTTTGAGGTTCTGTTTCTCCAACCCCATTTAAGTCAACCCCCCTTACCACCCGCCCGATCCTCCTTTTCCTCCTCCTCATTCTTCCTCTTCGGACCCCTCGCTCTTCACTCCATGCACCACCCCCATGGGGATCCGCCTCCCGCAACCCTCCCGCCCCCATCCCCCTGTCCTACCCCGGGCGCCTTTCCTGCCCCGTCCTCCTGCCACCGTTTTCCCTCGCCCTACCACCCTCCCCCCTCGCCATCCACATCCGACACCTCCCATCCACCCCCCCAAACTCCCCGTCGCTCGGACGTCCATTCCCTGTTTTTTTTTTGCGGTTTCGTGCGTGGTTTTTTCGCAGGATGATCCAGGATGCTCCTCAATAACCCCCGCCGAGAGAAACACACACACACACACACACACATACACATACACATACACATACACACACACAGTCCGAGCGATACCAAGCACCCGTGCCTCTCCCTCGCATCCTCCCTCTCCCATCCCGAACCCTCCTCCCGCCTCCCGCCTCCCGCCCACCCTCCCCTCCCGCCGTAACGCCCCAATCGGCCCTCTCGGCTACGCGCACGAGTGGCCCCAGCCACGAGCGCCCATTTGCGCGCGACTTCCGGGGCCGCGGGGAGGCCAAACCCGAGCGCGCAGGACGCTGCTGCCGCATGGCGTTCCATCCTTTGTGGGCCCCGGAAACGGCAGGGCCGTTTTTTCACCGTTTCCAAAAACATGTCCCTTGAACATAGAAACGGCCAACAAAAACGGCGACCAGAAACGGCAAAAAAACAACTCCAAGATTGGAACCGGAGCCGGAACCGGTCAAAAAACGGCGACGGAACCGGTAACAAAAACGGCGTCGGAACCGGCAAAAAAACGGCAAAACGGAACAGGTAAAAAAACGGGCCCGTTTCCATCATCTGGGGACCTCGGTGTGCCCGCAGCAGAGGCCACCCCGGCGAAAGGCCCCTCCTGCGCGCAGCCGTCCCCCCCCCCGCGCCAGAGACTGGACGGCGTGCCGCGGCGCGACACGCCCAGCCGAAGCTCCGATTGGGGGCGCGCAAGCCTGGATTAGCAAACCATGGATTTGGTCATCGCTCGGACGTCCATGTCCTGTGTTTTGTTCGGTTTCGTGCGTGGTTTTTTCTCCAAATGATCAAGGATGCTCCTCGATGGTCCTCGCCGAAGGAAAACTGCACACGCCCGAGCGATGGCCAGTAGATTTGGCGCGTGGTCGCCAAATCCATGGATCGGGGGAGGTGCCCTCCCCCAAAATGCGGCCGTTGTTGCCTGGCTCGGCGGCAGAACTCCGCGACTTCCCCTGGAAGCGGGACCCGTCGCCAATCCACGCCCCCTTGAGCCATGCTTGCGATCGCCTGATCCCAACCCTAGTCCTAACTCCGAAATCGCCCCTCCTGAAGCAGTGGCGAAACGTCCCGGCTCGCCTATAGCCCTACCAAACCATGTTCTAAGAACCTTTTGTGGCTGCCACGAAATTGTCTTAGAACATTTCTGGCGGAGTCTGTCGTGTTTCAACGCATATCGGGTTCTGTTCTAAGAACACTGTTTTTGTTATTAAAAAATTTTGGGGTTCGAAGAACATTTCGTGGTAGGACTATGGGAATGCCGGGACGGTCGGTCCCTGCTCAAAACCTCCCCCGCGCCAGCCACTGCAGCCCGCGCCCTCAACACGCAAGAGTGACCCTGGGTAAGAGTGACCTTTGGTGCGCGGCTTTTTGGAGGGCCGCGGGGGACCAAACCCGGGCGCGCAAGCCGCTGCTCCTGCTTGGTTTTCAGCAATCTGGGGACCCACCTGTGCCCGCACCAAAGGTCACTCCGGCGAAAGGTCACTCTTACGTCTAGTCGCGTCCTCGACCCACCCGTGCGCCCGGCACGCCGCCCGGGCGAGCGACGCCAGGCGCCGCGCCAGGCCGGGGGCCTCCGCCTCGAAGAGCCCGCCCGCCTGCAGGAAGAGGACCTTCGGGGGGGGGGGGGGGGGGCAGCATGCCCCCCTCCGGGAAGGCCTGCTCCCTCCAAGGTCGACAGTGCACCTTCTCTCCCTCCCTTCCCTCCTGCCTCCAAGGTCGGCAGTACACCTTCTCTCCCTCCCTTCCCTCCCTACGCCTCCCTTTTCCTACCCCCCTGCGCCAAAGCATGATTTCTCATCGTTCTCCTCCCCCTCCTGCTCATCCGCATCGTTGTCCTTCCCATCCATTTTTATCCTCTCTTCTTTCCTGTCCCCCCTTCCCTATACTGCCTCCCTCCATCCGTCGGCATTATCCTGCCTCCGTGTCCTCTTTCTCCCCCTCCTCCTTCCTCAAAGGAGGTGGAGGGAGGAAGGGGTTGAGGGAAACATGGAGAATGATTATGATGGCGAGGAGAGGGGGAGGAAATCCAGATTGCAGCAATGATTTCGCAAGACGCCGTCCCGTCCAATGTCCCCTCCCAATGAGTCCCCACACGCGCTCATTGTCGACTCAAGACGCGGCCCCATTGTGCCTGTGATGTTTGGAAACGGAACTGCCCACATCCCTTAAGCGGATTAACAGGAATGCGATGAGCTAGGATCATGAAATTTAAAAGGTGTGCCCCGCGAGAGCCACGCTTCGACGAGAATAATTCGCCCCCACAGATGTGCACGTCAAACGGAAGTGTGTATATCTGGTTTCCAAATTTGCGGAAGCCTCGGCAAGGCACCCAATTCGAAAATGATCCGCCAAACATCCGTACACTTGTTACATGTTTTCAAGCTTCTGGCCGCGGAGTTCAAGCAAGTCTCAAGTGAAGACCACATGTTGTAAAGAAGAAGCCCACCATCCTTGTGGTTCTTGCAAGCGTTTGACAGACAAGAGTGCGCGCAACGCTGAAGCGAAACCCCCATTTTGAACAGGAGCCGTCATCCATCCCTGTGGCTGTTGCAAACTACAGGCGCTTCGTTATTCAATTCTGATTTGGGGGGTCTCGCTTTCAGGAAGCACGCTGCTACGCGCACGTGCAGCCTACCCGCTCCGACACGTATTCATCTTTGGCACCGGCGTCAGCGGCGACGCCTAACGACCTGCCGCACGCCCCGTAGACTCCTGGCACTACGTCAGTCGGGCTGGCTGAGCGGGCGAGTTCGTCTGAGGCTTTCCCTGTTGCTAGCTTCTCTTGCCAGTATAAAGTCACTTTAGGAACACATCCATCGTGTTTACCGTCGCGCAGGAGAAGACTGCTCCGGCTTCTTCTAGTTCCCCGTGCGGAATCACCACAGCCCCCGCCCTGGGAGACAATACCCCAATGCGGTTCTATGTCGCCGTGGTCAACTCACGGAACGAGGATCCGCAGCACCGGAAAGCAACATTCCTGCGCGCGGGCTTCTTTCGCCGAAACGATTCACCTTGCGATGAAAACCCGAGCGGTTCGGCGGCTTGGAATCGCCATCGCGCTGTTTGGAACACGGTTCCATGCCATTTTTGAGCGCGGATCTCAAGCGAAACGCTCGCTCTCCAATTGCTTGGAACCGGTGTCTATTGCTTGGGACCGCTTTGGAGACGCCACGACGGCCCATTCTGCGAAGAAGTCCTAGGCGGTTCGGCGATTTGGAACCGCCAAATTCTGGTTCCAAACCCCGGAGTGCACCCCCTCCGCCCTCTCGCCTGCTTCCCCCCCACGCCCACACCCCACTCCCCGTTCACATTGTAAACAGGCTCCACGTCCCTAGCGGGACGACTCCCCGTCCCCCAGCGTGCCACCCGGGAGCGTACGCGTCGTTCATGTCTAGTCGTGCCCATTTCTAATCGTGCTCGTTTCTAATTGTTCCTGGCCCCCTAGTGGCCAGGAAAAGGCCCAGGATGGAACGATTACAAATGAAAGGATCTTGGCCCCCCCAAAGATCAAAGAACTCTCGAATACTTAGAAATGAACAGTGCGTAATATGACGAACGTGCGAGGCGTCGAGGCGCGAGCCCCAACTTGAAGAGGAGCCGCCCTGTGTCCATGTAGCTGCTGCAGGTATGAAATACGCATGTGCACGGGGGGCACGCGCGAAACCCATTTCGAAAACAACCCCCTGCAACCGTGCAATTGCTGCAGGCGTTTGAACCGGATGAGCGTGACGCGGAGGCGAACGCACTGACTTGCAAGAGACCGCTGCTCCATCCTCGCACCGATTGCTTACTTTTAAGACGACTGCGCGCGGCGCCAAGCGAGAGCCCCGTTTTGCAAACTCCCCCCCCCCTTTTCATCCCTATTCCCTGCTACTGTTGCAAGCATCAAGCACCAATGCCATACATGGTGAGGAGGACAGGAGCGAAACGCACAGCGCGCCGTACCGACACGCCTCGGGGTGCGGCAGGGAGGGGTTGCCTAAAAGGAAAGGAGATACAGAAGAAGGCATCATGAACACATGAGCACGAAAGGAGGAAGAGGAGGAGGAGAAGGAGGTGTGAATCGCAGGACATCGCCTGATGCAGTGAGTGAGGGAGGGAGAGGGTTCACGTGCTTGCCTCCGCCCGCTGCCGTTGTCAGATCACCTTGATGGGACTGTTCAGAGTGCGGCGCCCCGGGGATGGCGCCACGAGGAGAAACAGCCCAAGGGTGGAATTGATCACCGTGAAGGCTCCGGGCGGAGCCATCTTGTAGTTTTGGGATTCGCAGTGATCTTGAGCCAGGTCAAGTCTTCCAGCGGAGACAGTGGCCGATGGAGCGGCCCAAGGAAGTGGTGGTGGTGCTGGACGGTGGAGGCGTCTGTCTGGCAAAGGAAGTGATGCTGCGATGGAGTGCAAGAGCTGGAGTCGGTGATCCGGAGCCAAGCTCGCCATGGAGATCCCCTGTGGCTTGCGGCCAGAGGCGGTCGGGCCTCTGGTTCTCACTCCCTTGGATGACGAGGCGGAGAAGGCGTGTGAGCACCTCGAGCTGCCGGATCTGGAGCAGGCAAATGGCGAGGAGGCTCTACTTTCCGAGCCTTAGACGAGCGCTTCCCAGATTAGGGGGCCAGCGACAGAATCGGAGACGCCCTCGAGAGCGTGTTCGGCCTCACGATCGAGCGCGGCGAGACGTCGTCCGCGTGCACCGGGAGGGCTCGCACCGACTTCGCCAGCGCGAGGAGGGAAGGAATGGAGCTTCCAGCCGTGGCTCAGGGGTTCTTGCTCTAGACTTGGCATGGGACGCCGAGCAGTGTTGCTGCCGGCGAGCCAACGACAACGGGGCTTCACGGAGATGCCGGCGGCCATTCGCACAGCGTATCCTAAGCAGAAGCCCGCAGCCAGCGTTCACGAGGCGATTCCAGAGCAGGATGACTGGGCAGGACCGCCGCCGCGGTGGACTCCAGCGGCCGAGGCTGAGGCAGCTCCGGACGAGCTCGAGACGGAGATCAACGAGTTGCCAGAGGATGATGGCCCGATAGGCGAGGAAGACGCGATCGACACACTGGCTACGTGGAAGGAGACGGGAACAGCGATGACGAGAGAGAAGCTATAGCGTGGTCTGGAGAACTTCAGGCGGCGCACGGACAAGAACAGATGCGTTTTGTGTCGGGAAGTTGGCCACTTCAGTCGGAACTGTCCCGAGAAGCACAAGCAGAGCCCAGATCAGCGGGGCTCGAGTGGCAATCGCAGGCCTGGTGGATTCATAAAGCGTCCGTATCAGTCGAAGCCTGTGAAGCAAGGTCCGGTGCAGGTGCTGATGGTGGTCAACACGATGTCGGATGCCAGGGGCGTGGAGGACGGCATGCGGCAGGAGGTAGACGTCCTGCTGGCGTCCTGGTCTCAGCATGGCAAGGCATCCCTGATCACGAAGCTGACGAATGAGGAGCGGTTCCGACGACTGGCCCGAGAGCGCCGCGGATATGAACAGGATGCGGATCAAGACGACGTGGACGAGGCTGACGAGGAGGATCAGGAGGCCGAGGTGTGCGCGTGTCACGCGCCAGGGTGCGGAGCCTTGGACTCCGGATGCGGCATGGCCCTCATCGGCATGGGGACGCTCGCCAGGCACTCGAGGAAGACAGGCATCGAGCCCGAAGGGGAGTCCGGCGTGCCCAGCATCAGTTTCAAAAGCTACGATGGCAAGGTTCCACGGTCTCAAAAAACATGTTGGATCCAGTGGCTGTTTCCCAGTGCCGGCAAGAAGGTGAACATCTTGTGCTAGGTGATCGACGGCGAGGCTGGACTCCTGACCAGCAGGGACGTCATGAAGATGTTGCAGGCGACCCTCGACGTGGCGAAAAACAAACTTCACTTGGGACCGCTCGGCGCGACGGTACCAGTGCGCACTAGCAGCGGGGAGCGGACACTTCGAGGCCGGCCTCATGGGCCGTAAGTTTCATGACCAGCAAGGACCCCGAAACGGAGATCGACATCACGAAGCTCCAGGCTGCGAAGCCGGACGACCATTCTCGGTGAGCCCCGGCCGGCGCCCTGAAGTCGCAGCGAACTTCGACGCGTGCAGTGTCAAGATCCCTGGGGTGACGTAGATTTTCTCGCCGCCTCGAATGACTCTCGAGGCACCGCAGTACGGCACGACGGACATGGGGTCGCTCCACAAGGCCAACGGCTGGGACGCTCGTGTCTCGAGGGGCATGCGGAACTTTTGGGAACACATCAGGACGATGGAACCCTTCTGTGTGATGATGACGCCACCGTGTGAAAATCGAACGGCCCTCCAGAGACAAACTCCAGATTGGTAGCGGACCTTCTGGGAGCACATCTCCGGGAGCTCCAGGATGCAAAAGGGCTTGTGAGAGAGAATGCGCTCGGCTTGCCGAGCACCAGAAGTCCAAGGGTTGGCGCATTCTCTTTGCGGGGCGCCTCCGGCAGCATCCACGTCCGTCGTCCCCAGACTTTGTTTATAAACTATGTTTGAATGCTCCTCCTGTAGAGGACTGTAGATAAGACTGTCGAATGTATATAAGACTGTTGAAACGACTCCTGCAGCACCCACTCGGGAGCGGCCAAGAGGGGGGTGTCCAAGAGGGGGGGTGCAAGTCATGGCCGGCGGCACGTGCGCGGCCCAGCGGGGGGGCCAGGGACGTCATGAAGTGAGAAGAGGCGCCCTGAAACCTGAGGAAAAATCATGACCCGCGCCATGAAATCCGCCCCCCCCCTGGTCATCCCCCCCCTCTTTTCCGCTCCTGACCCACGGGGCTCCACGGGGAGCACGGGCGGGTGCCGGGCAGGCCTCCGACGCCCGCTCTCGGGGGAAGTCTGCCGAGCAGGCGCCCGGGAGCTCGGCGCGTCCTCGCGTGAGGTGGCGCGGGAGCTGCGGATCCCGTGCTGCGGCGGCCGTGCTCAGGGCCGAGGGCGGCGATTCACTGCCAGGACCGGGCAGCTCCCTACCCAGGCGCACCCAAGTCTGCCCTGCCCACTGGTCCGGAGGCCTCTATGATCCAGGAAGGTGGTACGGAGGCGGTGATAGGAACGGTCGATCGACGACGAGGACGAGGATGGAGCAGGAGGAGATATACCACGACGACGCCAGAATTTCCAGGCGGCCCTTCGAGGTTACACGTAAACTTGGGGCACGCGACGGTTGCGACGATGATCCGACACCTGCGACATGCGAATGCCAGTCCTGAGGCCTTTTTGACAGGCAGCGAATTTCCATTGCGATGAGCGTGCGTCTAGGAAACAGCCAGGCATTGCAATATACAGCTCTCCTCCTACCCCACAACCACACTTAAAGACAATCTGCATGTACGTTGAAGACCTACCCTACTACATTCCAGTGGAACGACGGAAATGCCTCAACATCGTCTGTGACGCATCCTCTCTCTATGTGATGGCCCCGTTCCGGGACGGGGAGATCGAGTCTTCGCATGTGGTGCTGCGTATGTATCGTGGCATCTGGACACGACCCAACATGAGGCCCAAGTGGCTGAAGATGGATGCTGGCAGTGCGAATGTGTCCGTGATTACTCCCGATTCGATTGACAGGGATGTAACGGCTCTTGTAGACACAGCAGGGACAGCAAAGGCGCATAATGCTAAGGCAGAGGTGCACCAGGGCTGAACCTAAACAGTGTTTTTCGATTTCGTTTTGTTTTCGTTTTCCCTCGCTTTTGTTTTCAATCCGCCTTTGCCGCAAAACGAAATCGAAGCGAAAACGGCGCACGAAATCGCCAAAACACCGTTTAGGTCCAGCCCTGAGGTGCACGGAAAAGGGTTCGAGCAAATGTTTCGAGTGATGATTGACGAGCTGCAACCTCAGGATGAGGAAGGCTGGCTCGAGTGTACTGCCCAACTCCAGGAAGCAAAGCATCCGATGTTGAACGTACGTAAACGATGTGTCTCCCAGTCAAATCGACTTTGGCCGGAACCCAGAGATCCCCTAGGATTTGTTTCAGGAGATTCCTGACCTTGTTGCCAACAGCTGGTGAGCGTTGTTTTTATTCGACGTTGCGGCATTGGGCGGAAGGGGGGGGTCTGGCTCCAGACCCCTGCTTAGTGCGACTGTTTGCAAGAGTGCTGCCTCTGGCGGAAACTCCACCCGCTTGAAACAGGCGCCAAAAAAAACAGCCAAGATCTACTCCAGGGGGGGGAGGGGGGGGGGGGCGGGGGCCCGCGCCGATCGGCAAAACAATGGATAAAAAACCGATCACATGTGTGCTTCACGATACTGTGAAGGCTAGGGCAGCTTGTACCCGGGCACGTCCACAGGTCGAGGAGCCCAGGGACACACAGGTGAGTAGGCATAGATCCCAGGAACCCCAATAGTTTCACATATTTTTCTGGAGGCTTGTCTTCCCCATCCACTTCCCATGTCTTCCAGATATTCCTGGGGATCGAGGATTCGTTGTGTCTGTGTGGCTCGTCCCCTTCAGACTAAGGAACTAGGGCACGTGCCTCCGGAATGCAGGGGGGTGGTGCAGGGGTGGTGCTGGGCCCCGCGAGGTCTCGCGCAGCGCTACCCACGTGGTGGCCGAGGCGGCTCCAGGGCCCCCGGCCTCAGTCAGAGAGGCGGGAGGCTTGGGGCGGCACCCGGAAGTGTGCAATGATGGGAAAGGCGGTGGGCGAGTGATTCCCGAGTGCGCGGCTCGTAGGTATGTGATGTGCACAGATTTGCACTGTGGCCGATGGGCTCCGGTGCCTGCGCTCGTGGATGGCATCCGCGAGTACGAAGCGCCACACGCGGTTCGTCATGCGCTGGCCTGGTCTTCGTACTGCTCGTCCACACATGGGGCTCGTATCCTCCCAGGCTGCGGGCCGCCTCGACCTCAGGAGCGGCGTGGCTGGCAGGCCGTTACTCGTATGCCAAAGGCCGGGCCGCCTCCGTTAGCGTTGCACACATTTCAATTGTTCCGTCTCGTCCTCCTTGCAGGTCGTGCCGATGCGCGCGCTGGAAGGGCGGGGGGCTGGCCAGGTAGGACGACTTTGAGGGCTTCTGTCGGAGGGGTTTGGCCACTGCTGCGCACACGCTTGTTGCATCGAAGGCATCGAAGGAGAAGGGCAGTCCTGCCCAGCACCTCCTACAGCCAAAAAACTTCTCGCAACGCTCCGCGATGAGGATGCAAAGTCCTTGGGCGCACGTGTCGAGGCTTCTCGAACGAGGCTGGCCGTCGAAAGGGGTGAGGGAAGGACCGCAGAGACAAGGATGCAAGGGTACCCTTGGGAAACTTACTCCAGATTTCGTAATAAAGGGATGGGGGTCTCATTTCGGGGGGGGGTCTCTTCCAGGCTATCTTGGAGGGCCTGGGGGGTCTGGGGACGATGTTTAGGAGGGTTCTCCCACGGGGGAGGTCTGAAATGGCTTGTCTTGGAGGGTCCAGACCCCCTCCCTTTTATTACGAAATCTGGAGTACCCATCCGCACCATCGGTTCCGACTCTACACGCACGGCAGGCTCGTGTCGTGCTGACTCTGCGTTGGTTTCTGACACCGCGGGGACCATTCCACCGTGGAAGATCGGGCATTTCCGACACCTCCGATCACTCGACGTCGACCGGTTCTGGCTCGCCTGGGGCGTCCAACGTGGAACAACGTGTCGCCGCCGGTCGACTTGCCGATCCTGGCCAAACTCTCATCGCTGCTCCTCATAGCTGCTCCTCATCGGTTCCCAGACATCCGGCCGCTCCAGCTTTGTGCGATGCATGGGCCCCAGATGTCAGGACCACTTCCCTATAGGGGCAATTCCTCGTCCTGCATCATTTTTGACAGTCCCGAGGCCCGGCGAGGGCCCCAGGAGGCCGAAAATGGCACCGGCCGCTCCACCTCTGTTGAAGCGACGGACCTCTGGGTTCCCATATGTACCAGCCTGGAACATATCCCTATCCCTATGCTGGGCACCTCCTCATCACGATGCCAATCTTAGTGATTCCCTTATTTTTTGTGGGCTTATCCCTAAGATTGTCATCGCCTTTTGGCTTGTCAATCTTAGGGATAGGGGTACGTTCGAGGCTGGTTCCCATATCTCTGCACCGCTGCTCCTCAGCTGCACTCATTGCACCCTCGCCGCACAGCAGGGCCTCCCAGCTGTCCGACAGCGGCGCGGAGCGCACCTCGCGCACCTCGCGCCCGAGGCCCTCTGCCCGGTGGGCGAGCGACTCGATGGCCTGCGGGTGTCCTCCTCCTGCTGACTACCTACCAGACCACCCCAATCCAACCCGAAGATCCGAATTTCGGGTGGGGGGGGCAAGGGTTCTACATGTGTTTTTTCTATGTTTCCCGCCCCCCCCCCCTCCCCACTGGAAATCGAGGGTAAATCTGAGCCTTCGGGTTGGGGTGGGGTGGTTTGGTGTGTGGTGACCTGCCCTCCCTCCTCCCCCTTCCCCGAAGACAGCCCCCCCCCCTGCAGAGC